CGCAGTAATAAGGTTCATATATTCAAGATTTCGTATATTTAAAACTGATTTATCATTTATATCACAAAGACAATTTACTATAATTTGAAGAGTTGAAGAGAAACCTACAAAAAAAAAACTACAAGACACGTACTCAAATAAATTGCAGAATAAATTCAATGTTAAAACAGAAAATTACTAATACATTTTACGAGTTCTTAGGTTTGAAACTTATTCGAATACACAATTACGTACATTGTTTTTACAAACAAACCAACGTTTCGGGCCCTTTACATGTCCCATAACTTTACACAATAATGCAATATAAAATCTATTCTTGCTTTAGAAATGTTGTGTGAAGAGAACTTGCTGTTATATTTCTCTGCGTAACCCAAAGACGTAAACCAACGAGTTCAAAATCTTACATGGTCCACATCTCGACCGGATGGTTCCACATATGGGGTGTCATTTCGAATTAACTTTTTTTCTCTTGAAACCCTTTTAAATTATAGCATTCGGATGACGTGAGATGCTATGGGAATCTTCTACCCTTTTCTTAGTCATATGTTACTTAGACATGAGCGTTTGCGTTTACATTTGCTTTTAGTAGACTTTTTAATCTCAACAGAAACGTAAACGTATGCGTTTGTATGATTTCATGTATTGGGGAAGTGCAACACGTGTAGAGCTGATGTGAAATAACGTTTTGATGTAATTATTCTTACGATGACAGATATTTTTTATGATTATAGTTTTCTTCGTATGTATATTTATTGCTGTAGTTCTCAGTGTCTTCGTAAACTGCTTGGCTGTGCGTGCGTAATGCGAACCCCTAAATAGTATTGAATCAAAAAGTTAAACAAAATTAATTTTCGCAAACCGTTTTAAGCCATCAAGGACCTCACAAGGCTTTGAAGAGTTTGGCCTTTGTAGGAAGTTATTCGTTAAGACTGAACAGTGCTTCCCCGTGAAGAGAATCAAACCCAGGATCTACTATATAGGAGACAAGCGTTTTCCCAGCTAAACTATTAGCATTCCGCGGCAATGTTAGCCCTACACAAAAAACTTTTCTCACCAAAACACAAGTACAGTAATTCTATCAAGAAGTACCTACATAAATACCTACACATCTAAGTTCAAATATATTTTATACGATCAAAGTTGTGTGTAACGATGTTACAAAACATCAATTTGCGTTTCGACGAATAGCTACTGTCGTGCTGTCCACTACTCAAATTTGTCTGCTGTCTTTCTATCTGTCCATCCGTTCGAAACCGGAGCACGAATGATTGACTGCTACTAATAGTTATTTAACTACACGTTTTTTAAACAAATACACTTGCAGTATTATTACTAGGCTATTAAGGCGCAATTTTGAAGGTTTTCTTATTTTCTTAATGACTACAGTATTTTAATTTAGAAAAGTATAAGTACCTAATTCTTGTCTATGCAATATAAGATACGCACACACGGCAACTTTGAGCAGCGATGCAAACGCGCGTTCGTGAAACGCGCGATATAGGTGATTGCAACGATACAAACTATCTGCCTCTGTGGCCGGACGGTTACCATGCGGGACTGCCACACAGAGGTCCCAGGTTCGATTCCCGGGTCGGGAGAAATATTTCTATAGCCTACATTTTGACCCCTCCTACGTAAAGTATCGTATGTCGAAATTGCCAAGTTTACAGGGGAGCGTTTTAAAGTTCTGAATTCACTGAAACGAGCGTAACACGTGAGTTTAGCATTTCTCAGTTATATTCGGCAAAGCTCGTTACTAGAAACGCGCGATTGCATCGATGCAATCGCCTTCATATCCCAAGTGTAGCTATGCAGTCGCGCGTTTGTGTCGGCGCAGGCGCGCGCTCGCATCGCGTTTACATCGCTGCTTAAAATCGCACGCGTGTGTAAAAGTAGACCGCATCGCTGTTAAAAATGGCCGTGTGTAACCGCTTTAAGAGGAAAGAAATGTAACACAATTATTTAGTAATCAGACAAATACTCATGCATGATTGATTTAGATCACGTATTGCTTAGTGTAGAAGCTCCTACCGAATTTCAGCCGCGTAATTTCAGCGCGTTCCAATTTCTTTTTTCATATTCATACCTTTATTGTTTGCCACATGATTTCACAAATGTGTTATAAAAATATAATACAGTAGCAGTGGCAAGGCGTGAAAAATGTCGTTAGTAAAGCCCGAGCAAAACAAAAACATCTATCTTAAGAAAAAGTGAAGCGATTATCGACACTTAAACACGACTTATTAGTAAACAAGACACACTTCATTTCACTCATTAACTTAGTGTATATAAAATTTAGCACAAATTATAGTGAATTATTTTAAAATATACTTCATAATACGTGGAAAATTATAGGCAAGCCGGTGAAAATCGAATTATATGGACGCCTCTCCACTGTACCAGTAATCACACATGTGACACCTTGCAAGGGCGCCGCAAAATCAGGAGAGCCCTACAAATTATAATTACAAATATAAATATCACTACAAATTATTAACAATTATTCCAATTTTCCTACAACATAAAATTAAATAACATTTATTTATTACATAAGAGCTAATCTATTTAAAACTAGGATAATGGCACTTAATTTTTATTAAATATTTTGTCTAACTTATAAAATTATTGATAAGGTACTTTTTTAGACGGGCAATAAATATCGATAATTTTTCTTGGTTGGAATTGCCATTGAGTGTGCGCCGGATCTGTAAACTAAGTGTAGTTGCGGGAAGTTTCAATTTAATTTCACAACAACGATGACTACATCATGATAAATACTAAATACGTACAGTCGATGCCCACCTGACCATTTAACCGACTATTTAGTGCTGAATAAAGATTCAGACCAGTGTGAAGAAAGTTGTTAAACAAACTTAACCTTTAACCTGTGAGTTGCAAAATTAATTTTGATATAACTTCCTTATTGCTTCATTAGCGAATGACGTTTTAAGAAATATTTTGAAGCCAGTTTGATCTTTAATCACCTTACATAAATACAAATTTCAACCAAAAAGCGGGAAGTTCTTTACACACTTTTCTGTTCATTGGGTAAACAACCAAAAGGCTCTAGGAACTAAAAGATCGGCTAGGGGAACCGGTATCTTAAAGCACCGACTATACCTAATTTTTACGCTTTTTTTATATCAAGAGACGGAACGAACAAGTCGTGCGCCTGATGGTAAGCTACACGCCTGTCCATAACAGTTGCAGTGCCATTCAGAGCTTTAAATGGCAAAGATCTGAGAGGCATTGCCACTGCGCCCGTCACCCTGAGACATAAGTTGACAAGTCCCATGTGCCTGTAATTTACCAGCACCGTTATGCTCAGGCCACACAGAGTCGGCCGCGGACTGTAACGCGCGGTGGGCGCGCGTATGCCGCGCGTTTCATTGTGGCAGGGTATATATGTATAAACTCGTACATTAGAAACATTCCCGCGCCCGGAACGCTTCCGCGGCCGCCTCTGTGTGGCCAGAGCATTACCGTTCAAAACCGGAAAACAGTAATGCTGAATTATTGCTTGGCGGCAGAAATAGGTAAGGTGGCAGTACTTCCCTGGACGAGGTCTTTCACAAGGAGCTCTACAATTAATTCAACTAAACCTATAGCAATTCTATTAAGTTGATTTCTTACTACAGCTCAAAACCAAATCTTCCAAAACACAGAAGCAATTCTCGAAATTCTTGAGACTATCACCGCTGTCAGCCAAACCTGAGTAAATAACTTTGTTCCCTACGTGTAACCTGACCTGCGCGCTGTGGCCATCACATGCTGTCAAATCTAACCGCAAAGAGATGTGACTGGCCCGTTTTCATCGCTACCATTACCACTGTGTCAATTTGAAATCATTTACTCTACTTTCAACCTTATGCGAACAATAATAAAGGAGTTTTAATTCTCAACTCGTTAGAAAAACTAGACATGTACTGCTCGTGTATGGAAGCTCTTGAAAGTTGAAACCTGACGGATGCTCGCAATGCTCAATCTGATAAACGTAGATGCGCAGACAGGTCTCTCGAAGGAAATTTTAAAGATATTGACATGTTTAAAAAAAGCAGTTTCGTTTATTGAGAACAAACTTTGTAATGAATGTAGGCAATCAACTATAAGAATGACAAGTTGTGTGACTCACTGAAATTTTTTTATGTCAGTTAATTTATTTTGTAAACTAATTGAAATATATAATGCAATACCTAAAAGAAAAGATACACTTTCCGACGTTACCGCCATTTGCATTTCCTCGGGAAAGAAAATGGCCGCGTTTTTTGCTATGGAATGAGTCACCACAACAACACGTGCAAATGCAACGGGAAAGTGAATCATTAGAAACTCTACTCTTTTTAAATGTTTTTATGTGAATACCGATATGTGCTATTATTTTGCGATTTCCTCTGTGGTTGTCACGTTTACATACATTAATAATAGACCATAGAATGAAAAATATATTTACCTATCACTAATATAGTAATAAGTGGGGTATAGACAGAGACGCCGCCGCCGTACTGTTTAAAACGATGAAATAAGCTTATAATCAAGAAGCTATATAATAGTCATAAAGTTATTATACATATAACGTACAAGTAAATTTTCTGGTAATAATCGTCTGTCTAGTCTGATGAAGAAATGTTATGTTTTATTAAATTCTCATTCCCGAAGCGGCGGGTGTCATAGAACTCGTGACATAAAAGACGTGCACGCGATATCGCCGGCATGTTAGCGCGCCGTACCACCGCCACCCCTTTCCACCGTCGTCGCTGTCGCCAATATTGCCGATTTATCGCAACATGGTGATTTATGCGCTTGAGTTTTTTTAACTTTTAATAACATCATCAAACCTGCAGACGCTTTATTCTTTATATGTACCTCGTATTGTTTCTTGAAAATGTTTGAATCGTAATCGATAAATTATTCGCCAAACTTATACGTATTGCATTCCGTTTGAAATGTTGCATGTTGGATGTGCTAACTATAACTAAAAGTTTTTTTTCTATTGTTTTCAGATACGACAGCCCCGTACGTGCTTTACAAAGATGGGGTAGAGCGCGCTCCTCCCGGTACACAATGGGGTGGTGGGATGCTGGACGGCGGCTACCAGCCCATGCAGCATCAGAGCCCCGGCGGGCCGTCACCTCAGCCCGAGCCGCAGTTGGCGTCCCCGGCGCCATCACCCTATCCGCCTGCGCCGCCGCCCCCCGATCCAACTGGTACGTCGGCCGAGGACGCCGCGCAGCAGCTTGCGCAGCAACAAGCTCAGCAACAAGCCCAGCAACAACAAGCACAGCAACAGCAGGCGCAACAACAACAGCAGCAACAACAAACTTCCCCAGAACATCTTCAAGTAGAGCAACAATTACAGAATCAGGCTCAGTCGCAACAGACCACACAGGACCATTTAGAGCGCGCACCCTGCTTCGTTCCTCAACCGGACTTGCAGCAACAGTATACACCTTATTTCAAAGAGACCAGGCCTGCTAGTCACATGCTCGGCACTGGGGGTTTCCCATTACATTATCTGAAACAGAATGGCGGTGTCCTCTCTTTAGAAGGTCCGCTCGATCAGTACGCATCGACAGAATTGCGCCATTTACCTGACATAGTCCAGCCGGAGCCGCCGAAACCAAGAAAACATAACCCGAACTCGGAATTGCGGCTTTTCAAATGCCTGACATGTGGGAAAGACTTCAAACAGAAATCCACGCTGCTGCAGCACGAGCGCATCCATACAGATTCGCGACCGTACGGGTGCCCGGAGTGCGGCAAGCGATTCCGGCAGCAGTCGCACCTGACGCAACACCTGCGCATCCACGCGAACGAGAAGCCGTACGCGTGCGTGTACTGCCCGCGCTCGTTCCGGCAGCGCGCCATCCTCAACCAGCACCTGCGCATCCATTCCGGTGAGAAGCCATATACGTGCGGCGAGTGCGGCAAACATTTCCGCCAGAAGGCCATCCTGAACCAGCACGTCCGCACACACCAAGGCGAGCGCTATTCACACGTATATACCCCGGCCCGCTCCCCGCGCGCGGCGTCCGCACCGGCGCCCGTCGCTGCCGGCGCCGCCTGCGATCCTCACACGCCCCCACACGTTCGATTCGGTCTCGCAATTGGCCTTCCTATCAAACAAATTCTCGGTCCCCTCGTCGCCCATCTGAGCGGGCGCTCGCGAGACGCGGAACCGATCGCCGGACGATCCTGTAACCGTCCCCCGTTGATTAACCCACTCGTCGATTGTACCTTTCCTCGCCCTTTGAACTAGTAACTGACAATGTTCTTCGATTTTTACAGACGTTTCGCCCCATCTGATCTTCAAGAATGGGACGACGCCGACCTTATGGCCTCAAGACGTCCCGTTCCCGCCTGATGAGAACAAGGAGGAAATTCAATCTGCATTCGGAGACGCAGATGGGCAGAATGGCGAGCAACGTGGATCATGTTTTTCGCCTGGAGATACAGCACAATACCCGGCATACTTTAAAGACACGAAGGGTCTCAATCATACTGTCTTCGGTTCCGGTTTGTCTCTGCAGTACCTGAAAGGCAGTAAACTGCCTGATGTTCTTGGGGGTCGCGCTATGCCGCTTTATGTTCGTTGTCCTATTTGCCAGAAAGAATTCAAACAAAAGTCAACCTTACTGCAACACGGCTGCATCCATATAGAGTCGCGGCCGTACCCATGCCCCGAATGTGGTAAACGATTCCGACAACAGTCGCATCTTACGCAGCACTTACGCATACATACCAATGAGAAACCGTACGGGTGTGTGTACTGCCCGCGATTCTTCCGTCAACGGACCATCTTGAACCAGCACCTTCGCATTCACACTGGAGAAAAGCCCTACAAATGCACGCAATGCGGAAAAGATTTCCGACAAAAAGCAATCCTTGATCAGCACACCAGAACACACCAGGGTGACCGGCCCTTCTGCTGTCCGATGCCAAACTGCCGGCGTCGCTTCGCAACCGAACCCGAAGTGAAGAAGCACATCGACAACCATATGAATCCGCATGCGGCAAAAGCGAGACGTGCCGACGCGCCGAAGACACCGCGGCCGCTCCCACCTGCCGCCGCCGTGGTAAAACCTGAGCTGTACTTCCCGCAATGCTACGCACCGCCATTCCAGCAGTTCCCGGCGACAACTGCCACCGAGTTCAAACCCGCCGTAGGCCCTGGTGCACCGGTGCCGTGTCTGTCGGCTCAGTGACCCGCGCCACCGCCGCGATGGCACCCCGCGCCCACGCATGCGCCCTCACATCATGATTTGTACGCCGCCGAACGTCTCTACAATTAAGTTTAGAACACCCTTTGGACAATTTTAAAGATAGACCTGCGGTGTACCAAAAATAGTTGCCGTCGCCTACGACGGCACGGAACCAGTATACGACTCGCGTGAGCGAGACTATGATTCAAATAATGATCGATGTAATATTGTTAATCGGATCGCTGTAAACAAGCTTCGGTCTGTAAATAACCACATGTTTTATATACCCCATCAAGTCTGTCGAGGGACAGACCGCGAGTTCATCACGAATAGTGTTACCGTCAAACAAGCGAGTACAGATAGCATTTTTGCCCCGTAATATTAAGTTACCATGTAAGAATTAGGTTTCTTGAGGATTCTTCTTAATATGGTCGAAATGTTCATTGAGATTAAGCAGGTCGAACCAGAAATTAGAAATTAACATTTCATTGAAATCTAAAAATTAAGGTTTGAAATCTTTTACCACATAACATATTTCGCGATGAATGCTTCCGGCACATCTATGTGCCTATTTATATGATAAATGTAAACGTTGTACATAATTTGTAGATGTATTAACTTTAATTTTATTTACAAGTATTAAGGAGATGAAATCTGGCAAAAAAGAGGGATAATGAATCCACGATGCTCAGAATTTTAAGGATAAGAATTTATTACGCGTTAACTTTAGGCCGTGAATCGAAATTGTTTTGGGAGAGATGAACCGTCAATAAGACAATTGAGAAAGTAAACCAAAAACGTAGGTTACCTTTTGCCATCAAAACATTTTTGTTAAGTACTTACAAACGTTCTGTTAAATAAGCGAAGCGTTTACGTAAGTATACCAATGAACTAGATGAGATTACTAAAATGTCATTGTAACACTATAGGTGCCAAGTAGTGTAGTAACTTTTAAATTTTTTCTACCAGCTTCTAATATAGTTGGCCTAATTTAGGTTGTTACCAGTTTTTTCAACGATAATGACGTTTGAGATGCATTTATGTGGAAAGGGTCAGACTGAGAAAGGACTGTGATAGCTAGGTAGGTTAGGTGTCTATTCGCTCACTTAGCGGTAAAACTCGTATAAACTCTATCGAAACGTGATTGAGAATCCTTTTGGAGTCGAGTGAATGCTTAAATTGTTTCATCGCAATTTATAATAATAGTTTTGCTTCCATTGTGTTAGGCCAAAATTGCCAAACTATACGTAAAATCGTTTTGTTCCTAAATTATCAAAATTTGAATTTGTTGGTTGGCTCGTATTGGCCGGTATCTTGCCTTCCCTTTTTTGACTGACTTGATAAGTAACTTTGAAGAGTGAGACTAGTGAATTTTCCCAATTAGGTAAGGTGTGTGATGTCGCCAAGTGCTTTGCCGTAGTTTGATCCAGGATTGAGGGTATGCCAGAGTAATCTTATTTCTATTTTAGCTTAGACTATCGACATTCGAATTACCAAGCAATTCGATCATTCATCGCGAAATACACACTTAGATGTTAGGGAGAATAAAGATATATATGAATATGTGGCATTGATGGAATATTCTGGTATTGAGACGTGCGTCCTCGATAATTCGCGTCCACAATAGATACGAGTAGGGTTAGTTCTTCGCTCAATGGTTCCACGACATATACACGAAGCGAGATATATCAAATATATCAACTTTACTAGAGCATTCACGAGTAAAGTGAACCAGTCCTCGGACTATAAACTTTGAAGAGATATCAGGATATTTCAGCAAATTCTTTAACGTTTTTATCAGCTCTGTTTGTATCTATAGACAACATATATAGCTTATTTTACGATATTGTGATGGTTTTGTTTTCCTACCGCATAATAAGAACTGTTACGTAATAACTTATAGATGTAATAGAATGTGAATTTGTGGAAGTCACAGTACTTGAATACCATTATGATTTTATCACTGTTTGAAGTGAATACTGCAATATTATGTTAAGTAAATTTTGTATTTACTGTAAAATTAACTCATTGGATAGTTATGAAAATTGTCTGCGTGATCGAGATCTAAGGCCGATTCGCATGCTCCTTAGGCTCGACCGCCATCTCTCTTGTCTTCAGTTTGTAATTGTTTTTCCTATCAAACTTTCGGAGGTTTACAATGAAAAAAACACCAATGTTTTGGAGAAAAATTGAAGCAGTTATCTTCCGTGACTAAAGTTTTCCACAACGTGTGATCCTCCCGGTGTCGTGCGCCGCTCCCCGCCTTTAAGCACAATTTTACAAACTAGGGTTAATTTTCTGTTTACTTTTAAAGAAACCGCGCAGCAGCCTTACAATAATAGTAATAAGTATTTTTATACAATAACCGTATTTGGTTGAGACTCGGTTGGGCGCGGCGCAGCGGGCCCCTAGTACAAAGTTTGAATACAAACATAAAACACAGTGCCATAGCCATGATATAACCTCAGATTTATACTTATTAGATTTTTATACCGATACAAATGGATTTAATTTTTAAATATAACAAAGGTGATTAAGAGTACAGAGATTAGAGATGATATTTTATACATTTATTACAAACAATATTATTAAAGTGAATATGAAATAGCCTTAAAGTTAGTATTTCAACATGCTAAGTACCTAAGTAACTTTCAAGACAGGTTGTGTAGAGACAGGAGTCGTGGAAAATTGAGTGTCGTTGAATTTTTTGCAAATCAACGTAAAATCTCTGAGTTCCGCATCATGGTTTAGCAGTGTTGCTTTTTGCGTGGTTATTGTAAATACATATCACTGGAAAATCTGTCAGGCAGTGTTGCAATTAAGCATCCGCATTCTGATAATTGAAACTGTCGGTAATTCCGTTACCCGTTGCATTTGTGTAACCCCGATACCCGAATAGGTCTGAAGAGTGGAGTAAAGCAAATGTCGCTATAGTTATCCTGTGCAGGCTGTTCTATTCGTATTGCTCACTGTTTTGTTAAGTTTTGCTCAATTTCTCGTGTATATGCCTTTAACGTTACTTGTGTTAGTTTTATACATCATATTGTATACGGGAATTAATGTAAAATATTTTTTTAGAGAGCACGGTTTGCTTTTCTTATGAGACTATTTGTTAAGTCCTAAAATATTCTTGTCAGTGACAGTCTTGGCCGATGTCGCTATTCTTTGGATGAGCCTATAATTTCGAGTCGATTTTAATCATATCTTGCAGTAGATTTAAGCGTGCCGTCCAACTTCGGTCATTAATTGTTTGAATCCCAAGCAATAGCGTTATAGTCAGTATCTTTTCTCTAACATTTTAATTCGAAGTGGACTGGGATCTAATGATTGTGAAATTCATAAATTCTAACAGCTTTATATTGGTACACTTCAAGTGTACCAAGTTCGAGACCAATCTCATATGATCCTTGCCGACTTAGGTTTGATACACGTTCCTAGCTTACAGTACGTAACATTATTTTTCAATGTATTAACGTAATATTTTACTGTCTACCCGTAGTGTAGGTAATCGTCTTGTATTCTTTTCGTCTTGTCTCTTCTACGCCTTTTATTGCCCATGGAATCAGATTTCATGTTGATTTTTTTTCGATTTCCACATTATATACCTAATGTTACTCGAATCAACAATGTATTCTGCAGGTAACTGCAATCTGTAATCTTTATTCAATAACTTTTCATCGTATTACTACCAGGAGTGCTATCTTTTAATCACTTCAATTACTTAATTTTTGTATACTCTAAGTTGTTAACAATATAAAAAGGAGAGAATAAGATTGCATTGTGAACATAACTATGCATGTAAACGTAATATCTACTTTATTAATATCAAACATATGTCAATTGTATAAGATACAATGTACTGGAGCAATGTACGAGTAAGTTACATCGACCAATGCTTAGCTTGGTGTGTCGAAATTTGTAACTTAGTTAAGTGATTTCCGAACTAACTTAAACAAGCACTGACATTTTCTTTTAAATGCATTTATTAGTGATCTCATGGCGCCGAAACATTTTTTTAAATCTTTTGGTAAAGACATCTTGGAAATTCTGTAGGCGACAAATAATTGTCCATTTTTATTTGAGTGCTTTTAATAATCTATATATACTTCATGACAAGTTTTTATGTGTATTAAATTGACGGAAGCTTTTACTCTGAAAGCTTAAGTTATCTTTATATATTTAGTTTCCAGCACTTATATATATGGCCTTAATTTGTTAGCTGACATCTATATAACCAGTAAAAGTTGTCGCTAGGGCTCATGCAAAATATTTGTTAGAAAATGTTATGTATTTCTCGTGGTCGTATAAACGCAGATCCCTGAATTAATTATTTTTTCGCAATTTCAGAATGTAAAAGTTATTTGGTTCTCATAACCTGTCATTAATAAATGTCAACTAATAAAGTGAGGCCTTGTGTAGTATAAACTTACAATCCTTTCTTTTGTTATGAAGTATTCTTCATACGAGTGGTGTATGCGTAAAATGACATACTTAGTGCATAATGCTTGAAATGAATCCATGAAGGAGCTTAGGAATAACAATTTAGTTTCTTAGATCGTTGGCTACGAATTATTTTAACGTCTTCCATTTTTGCTGTAGCTATATCTAGATCTTTTCTTTTGGACGTTTTATAATTTGTATTACCAATATTATAGTTATCGAAGATGATATTTTAGCTTTTATTTGTATAGTTTTATGTTTTAAAACAGTTGAAAACATCTGCAGTTAGTGCAGTAACCGTGCAATAAACTCAAAACTTTTGGCAGATTATTGAATAATAATTTATTATAAAGTGCTTATATTAATTCCATATTTCATCGTAGTTGTTAATATAGGGGCGAATAATTAGTAGCCAACAAGAATGGCCTATATAATTTATCGTATAGTCGTAAAGACCTATATTACCTTGTACACACTGCCACACTCGCCGACCGCTGTCAGTAATATCTTAATTTTTTATCACAATAGAGACTTGTTGAAACAGTTCCACAATAAAGTAAGTGTTGTTAAATTTTTTATAAAAGATAAACATATTAGATTAATGATCTTGTAGTCTGGATTGAGTTTTTTACAGATTTTATTAAATGCAAAGCTTTGAGTCAATGGGGAGGGCACGTCGCCTATCTAGCTTATTTTTGCTACAGATATTATTTAAAGCAATACAATAAATGATTAACATATACAAATAGTACAATAGATATACAGATTATACAATATACAACGGATTTATACAATAAAGGTGATATATTATATATAGTTTTCTTTTTATAGAAGCGTGATGGGCGACATACTCGATGCATACTTGGTTTTCAGTGAAATGGGTGCTGTTATATCATTAATTGTACATATTTATTGTAATATACAACAATAGACTGGTAATTTACACTGTTGTTAGGTTTTTACAGAGATATTAACTGGTACTGTTGAAAATTCCCATTTACGAATATTTCTTCCGTATACATGTCTCCGCCATATTTTCTTGTACACAGAATGACAAATGTGATTATTTTGTCTTCCATGAATAGTTATTAGTTATGTACATAGTTACAAATTATAGTTTTTACTGTAACTACTACTAAAAAACTGTCCAGTAGAATTGCCAGAGGCATTTGACTTTGTTTATCAGACATGTATTGCCTTTTGTTAACCCATATGGAAAAAAAATTGACGACAGCCAACGACAACTGTCCAACATTGTTCAACTACAATAACTTGCTATGATATGGTCAATTTAAAAAAATCGCATCTCAGAGTATAGCTGGGGTTCCTCAGGGTGATGTATTATGACCGTCTTTTGTCCGTAGCGATTTACTACAAGGCCTAAACATGGGAATTTTCATTAGCGCCAGCCCACAAAGTTACAATAGAGTATATTTTCTTACAATACTACAGGACACCGAAATAGACTATATGAAATTGATTTTTAGACAATCCCAGAATACAAGATCGAACTTTTTACACACAACAGCTGAATACATTTAAGTTTTAGTTTTCCATATGAATCATTTTGCAAAAACAGTTGGTTGCGATATGGTCACAGAGATCCAGGCGAAAAAAAATTACCGTTGGCATTTTAAAAAATGAAAATAAAAAATTGTAAATATATTTTCTAGTTCTTCCAAAATGATATATCAGTATTAAATACAAAATTCAACTTTGGTTAGGTCAAAAGTGTATGTGTGATCTATAGAAAATTTTCGAATTAGACTTTCTTGGTGTAATTTTTAAAATACTTATAGTTATTTTTAGTTGTATTATTTTCCTTTAGGTTATATTTCACTTAAACTGTAATGATCTTGCCTAGATTTGCATTTACGTTAGTTACTTATGATACGTTTGAAGTTGATACCATCGTATTTATGTATATTATTATTGTATTAAGGGTTTTGTTTGTTTTTTTTTGTCATTTAATAGAAGTAAAATGTTGTAAAAAGTAAGCTCGTTGTATTTTATCAAATAAACACTTTTTAGTCCAACTGAAGCAATAGGGGAAAGTTTTATTTATTATCATCCTAAGAGTTCGTTTTAAGAAATCAGCTACTGTTATTTAAGTTTCATGGTGCTTATCACTGAAAACAAAATTAAGGAAAATATCGTGGAAATCGCTCAAGACCTGCGACTATCACATTTGTAAAAAGAAATATATAATTATTAATAAAAAGATCGAACACTCAGAAGAAATTCTTTCGATCCAGCCGAATGCGAACCGACGTCTTCTAGATACCGTGCCAGACGCTATACCAACTAAGCCACGGAACGAACCAGCGGACCTCACGAATTTTTCTATGTGCTTGCGTCGTATCTTTGTATTTGGTTTTTCAACGACTTTTTAGCCGTAGCGCCATCTATGAGATTTCGTCACCCAGTTAGATACCTTTACAGCTACCAGCCCCGGTTAGAGATGTCGCTATTCATTGTATTTAAATTTTTATTGTATTGATATTCAATTATTTTTATGTGGAACTACTCCACTAGTTGGTTATATTATTAATACAAAGATCGAACACTCAGAAAAAATCCTTCGATCCGGTGGAGTAATTTCACATAAAAATAATTGAATATCAATTCAATAAAAAATAATTTAAGAAATATATTTACTAGTAAAACCTCGACCCCACATTTCCTAAAACCACTATAGTGCGCGCGGAACTAGCTGGCCGCGCCTTAGGTATGTGAGCGGTGGGACGGGGAGGCGGGGGCACTTGATGTCATTACTCAGAATACTCAGTTCGGCGCCGGACTTCGCGGCGGCAACACACGTTGACAGTTCTGGCTAGTTTAGACAAAACGCACAAGAGATTGCAATGTCAAGATGAGTCCGCCGATAAAAAGACAATCTAAGGAAATAATATTTAAAGTGCATACGTTTTTTAAAAAACGGAAAGCCGATGTCAATAGTTTAGAATATAAAACTGATGCGAATATTCATAAATTAGTGGCAGAAGCAACCGGGATATCAGAACGAAGTGTAAGGAGAGTGATTGCTCAAAGTAAAACATCCTTGCAAAATACAGGGGAAGCAAAATTTAGTTCTCCACGAAGGCCAAAAGAGATAAAAAAGAAAATACAAGTTGATGATTTTGATTTAGGAGTGATAAGAAGAAAAATAAATCAGTTTTATACGGTACAGAAAACAAATCCAAGTCTACGAAAACTAAATGCTGTGTTAAAAGAGGATAATATTTTAGATTGCGGATTAACTTATTTAAGAGAACTTTTGCACAAACTGGGATATTCATTTAAAAAATGTAAATCGAAGAGATCCCTTTTATTAGAGAGACCAAACATTGTTGAATGGCGAGTGAAATATTTGAGGGCCATAAGAAAATTCAGAGAAGACAAACGAAATATATTCTTTTTGGACGAAACTTACGTTAACCAAAGTCATAATGTCCAAAAATGTTGGCAATCTTCGTCGGAGCCTGGTGTTTATGCAGATATAGGCAAAGGAAGGCGTTTAATAATAGTTCACGCTGGTAGTCGGAACGGGTTAGTTGACGATGCTCTGCTAATTTTTAAATCAGATTCAAAAACAGGAGACTATCATGGAGACATGAACTCTACAAATTTTTACAACTGGGTTGATCGAAAGTTAATACCTAAACTTCCACCTAACTCAGTCATAGTTATGGACAATGCAGCTTACCACTGTGTGCAAGTTGAGAAGAAACCGACTATGTCCTGTATGAAAATTAATATGCAGAATTGGTTGCAAAATCATAACGTGCCCTTTTCTCCCACGATTGTCAAAACTGAACTCTTGGGCTTGATTAATACGACCCAATCAGAAAAAATATACACGATTGATGAACTTCTGAAAGGTGCAGGTCATACTGTTCTAAGACTACCTCCATATCATCCAGATCTCAACCCAATCGAGCTTGTGTGGGCAAATATAAAAAATTGCCTGGCCAGAGATCACATTAATGCTACATTGGACGAGAAAATTACAATACTAACAAGACTATTTTCTGAATTTTCTGCCGAACAATGGCAAAAATGCGACGACCACGTACAAAAAAACGAACAAGAATACTGGAATCATGATATGAGATATGATACTGTGATGGACGAATTCATTATAAACTTACAAGATGATTCTGACTCAAGTTCAGACAATTCAGAATCAAGTGATTCAGAGGATAATATGTCAGAGTAATTTCATATCTATAAATACAAAGTCGTGTTAGTTACACTAATTAATTAATAATAATTTCATAAATGATTCAAATATGTCGGAAGAATTTCATTTAATTTGTTTTTGGTTTATTTTACTTTTAATTGCAATGTACGGACAACAGCAAGTCCATCAATACATAAATGTCAAATTTATCCAATCAATGTTATACTCTATTCCCTGGACTTTAAGTTGAAAATCAATTGAGGAAATCTGACAGTTTGTGGCGGCCTGATGTGCTGCCGACTGTACATTGCAATTAATTAGATAGGTATAATATAAACTTGTAAAAGTTCAATTGGCTTTAATTTTTTCTTTTCAATAACTGAACAATTATTGTTCACGATATCTCGAGATTGGTCGTCACTGTCTAATCTCATGTGCGTTGCGAGCAGCAAGCAACCCGCCCCCTCACCCCTGTCCCTACCTAAGGCGCGGCCAGCTAGTTCCGCGCGCACTATAAATAACAAACATAAAAAGTACGTTTTTTTATAAATAATATAATCAAAGCAATTTCATATCACAACTCATTTATTTGTTTCAACAACTATTCAAAATAACAAAAATTATATTTACTTACAGTTATTCACCTCTTTTAATCAATTTATCTATACTCTCTTGGTTCTTATAAATACACAAGTCCATAAATGTCAAGCCTAGAAGCAAACAATGTCCCAACATGTCTTTTTGAAGGTCCTTCTGGTAACGAAACATATTTTGTAACCTTTCTGGTACAAATACATGAGAGTTGTTCGGAGATTTCTGATTTGAAGACTGCAGTAACATTTCCACGGTCTGATCTGTTGATACTTTTTCGTTTCCCACTAAAGTTCCGTATAATCTGAAAGAGAAGATGTGCAATTTATGAGATAGACATGGACATCAAATAATGAGGGTAGTTGTGTTACTTAAAATATTTCATTTTCATAATTGTAATATGAATCATAATCAGATGTCCAAAATATAAACAAAGGGTATAAACGAGCCAAAATACATTTTAAGCGGTAGTTTCCTATTTTGGACAATAATCTATAAATCTAATAAAACTTAGAACACTTCATATTTTGCAATTTTAAATACTTTAACTTACTATCGTTTAATACAATAATTATTATAAAAGACTATGTTCCAGGTCGGAAATAATTTTATGACACTGGTAACATAATTGGGGTCAAAAACATTTTTGTGCCGCCATTCTGTCATGGATGTAATTTGTAGTTAGTTTCTCGAACTCGAATGTTGTAATAGATAATTAAAATTTTAGAAAATGAGGACCTCCTCCTTTTCCAATTCCGATAAAAGTAGAAGGTTTAGCGCACCTGCAGTTTATTCTATCTATTCTATTTCCTTATTGGCGGCCACTAGGCTTGGGCCAGTGTCACTTTCGACACCTGCAGTCACACTTTGACAATGACTTTTATTTGTTTACATTTTGCAGCATCTAATTGTGTTCCTTACTATAGTAGTGACACCTATACCATTGGCGAGAACTTGGCCTTCTGTTTTGTATAAAACTAAACTAGATGGCGCTTTGGTAATCACTGTTTCTTAAATATGCACACAGATGGCGCAGTGTTTCAAGGAAAGCCATAGTTTTGGTATATAATATACTAAATCTATGAAATAAGCAGCAATTTAATACAAAATTCCTTTCTACAATCACATCTTATAGTTAACATACTATAGACAAGTATAATACCTGTATGGAAGTGTGGGCCTTAAGAAGTAGACCTTCTGTTTTAAAGTCGTGTTGGTTACACCATCCTCTAGTTGAGATACGCTGAAAACGAAATGTATCTAAAGTATTTGACTTACATACTCTCAGCGATAGTCTCAGTGCACATAACCAAGAAACGACACACAATACTTATTACGACACAAGTTCCGTACATGAAACCAAGCAACTTTTAATAATATATAATCCGTTAGGCAGTTTATGGCTTGTTTTCGGTAAATACCTACACTACAAAATTGAGATTCCGTGTTTTCCTGGGAAATACCAGGTATGTGTAGCATTCTATAACAACACCAAGTGTCGAAGTCTTCAAAATCATGACGACGAGAGAAAAAGACTGCCCAGCTTTCGAAGAGTATCTAAAAATTACTGCACACCTCGCGACGTGTATACCTACACCATCCGATACACATACATCGGGTATAGAATTACCATTTATCCCATACAATAGTGATACGTCACCTAGCGTACACTATTTTCGAGTGAAGTCACTCCTAAAACCAGGGATGATAGCCGACATGTGTATTCGCAATTAACTTAAATTAATTTTAATAAAATTAGCGAAAGTCCTCCGAGTGTCGGACTCATGACCTCATGCAATTCTTGAGAAGACTGTAATAATTCTCATAGGGACATAATAATAATAAAATTGCTTGTTTCTCAACATAATAACATATATAAACGCGTGAAGCAAGTAGCTGGCAACACGGAACAATAAATAATAAATTTGTAACCATTTTGATGATTGGCTGTAAAGGGCAAAGTACCCAGAACCGTAAAAACCAATAAAAAAACAAAATACATCAGAAGTGCTAGATGCCGTGTGCCAACAGTTCGCGGACTTCCGCAAACTTGAGCTCAGCCCGCCATTTCTTGTTACAAGAAACGAAAGTAAACGTTATACCGCTGCAATGTGGTCGCTTCTTTTTTGGAAAACTAGTAAACATCCCGAATTATTCGTCATTCAGCTATTAACCACTAGATGGCAGCGCATTGATTAAAATTTAACTAGTTGCCTACTATGGTCGCTTCTCCGTTGAGAGATCAATGTTTAATTCCAAGTTACATACATTTATGAATATTGAGTAAGCAATACATCTTGCTTTGGTGACGAAATAATAGTGTTTAAACAAGCATTCGAAGGTTTTCAACCTTTGCAAACTATGTTAAGTCCTCAACCTGCATTGGGCTAGCGTGGTGGACTATATATAGCCTTAACCCATTTCTTGAAGGACACTCATGCAATTCAGGATTGATGATGATGTTGATGATATTATATCAATGTAAACAAAGAGTCTAACCTATCATCATAGCTCCTAGCATTTACTAAGGCAACAATCATGGCGACCATTTGCGCCTTCTGCAGGTTGACAGCAATAACTTTAGGGTTGTTTGGATCACTGCCAGCTGCACGCAACGTTGTAGCTTCAGCTTTCATCACGTATACATCCGCTGTAGGCAGGTTTTGCGTAACTTTCCATGCCTGAAACGAGGATTAACTACATTTGTTAGTTTTCCTTGCTATGCAGTGTCATTTTCATAAAATACCAGCCCTTAAATATTAGATATATCAAGTTTGTCTATACAAACATTTCAAAAAATTGTTCATGATGGCCAATGGTCGGAAAAAGGAGTTCCATATATATAGATATATGTATACTTAGATATAGCTACAAGGAGCGACACAGAGTTGTTAAAACCACGAAATATTAATCAATTACTGTTTCGAATTCCGGATATCCGAAAATGTTTTCACTGCATCGTAGGGCACAACTACTGTACCTAGGAAATCGACATGACATTTTTGACGGCGTTACCCATTTACGGTTTTTTTCTTCTTTTATTTATCTTCTTAACTATTTAAGAAATAGAGGAGTTTTTCGGAAATCGAAATACGTAATTCATTAATATTTGGTGGTTTTAATAACTCTATGTAGCTCCTTGTAGCTATGTCTATACAGGTATCTATGGAACATATATATATATATATGGAACACCTTTTTCCGATCATTGATGATGACATATCATTGTTCTATCTACACTACCATGAGCATAATACTGGAGATAGTTCTTAGGTTTTTAAGTTTTCTCCAAAAATTCATTTGTTAGTTGTCAATGTGATAAATAGGCAGTTCCTCCAATTATCTTTGTTTGCCAAGACAATGGTTTTTGATGTTTATATGTTCAAGTACACGCACACATGTAGGCTGATGCGGAAGTGAGCTTGATTATATTCGTTTGTAATGAATTGACCAAAAAGTCCGAGCAATTTTACCATTAAATAACAGAAAACGAAAAAATAACTGTTTCTTTTAAAATGTTATATTGTTTATGGTCATTTCAAAAAATATTTAAGTTGAGCATTTTAAGAAAGACGGGAAAGTTTAAAGTTTATAATTAATTAATGAACGGGTAAATCTGTATATGAGTTGCATTTCATCATGATAATGCCAAATCACGTATATGACAAAGCTGTCAAAAACTATTGCAGTTGGGTTGGATTGTGTTACCTCATCCAACTTTTCGCCCGACATAGCTTCTTCAGATTTTGACTTTGCTTCAGTCTTTACAATATTCTTTGAATCGACAAAACTTTGATAACAATGAGACCATCAAATGACATTTAAACTTAAAATTACTTGAAATATGGCAAAATATGTCAAAGTCAACACGGAGAATACATAAATGATTCAAGTTTGATATTTACTTTTTTAAACATGTTTCATTTATACTTTGATACCACACAGAATTCTTGGCAAACTTTATACTTACAATATCCAGTATATCGGTGATCTGGAACCTTTTCCCCTCTGGATAGTCAATACTGTGATAGTGCCACTCCAGTACTTCATAATTACTTTTGTCTATAAGCATCCAACATACGGAGTTCACTGATATATACACAGATAGCACCGTTTTGCAGCTCTGGAGTATAATAAATATAAACAATATTTAAAAATATTAATTTTTCAAAAAATGTTTTTTTTTTTCCAGCGCTTGGTAGACCTTCATCACAGTAACCAGCAATTCATTTAATCTGGTCACAACTTGGAGTAAATAACAACAGGATTAGGGAACTTTCTTTTTTTTTTTCATTTTCTTAGCTCCAATAGTTATTATCTACTCTCGCTAGAGGAAATGTAGACGTATTATGCGCCTATAGGAACGAATTTCGTGTAAGAAGTGTAGAAGTATTACATCAGATTCAGGGCAGTGCAGTGCAGATTTGACCACGAAGCACGCTAATTGAGAAACAGATGGATATTCTTATACATTGATAACAAGGTTGTTGCGAACATCAGCATCAGTATCCACGCATACTACGCATAAATTAAAATATCTGCATCCGCATCAGCCTCTGGCTCGATTGTTGCCGAATTTCATTGCGGATATTCGCATAGTGACTTAGGACAAACCTACATATATAGACTGTAAGACCAAAAAGCAGCTCAACCATCATCCATAGCTTGTGAGAAAATTGTCAGAATGATTAAAGCTGTCACAAAATCATTGAAAAAATGAATATCATTAAAAAAGGTATTTCATGTTGATGATAAAGACTTTAACATTTTTAAGACATTTTTTTTAGACTTTTTAAATAGATAAAATCAGCATCAGCTGATGTTGAAGTAAAAAATCAGCATGCGAATCCACTGATGTGTAAAAAACCTGTATTAGTAACAACCTTGATTGATTTTTTTTTGTTTATCGTATAATCATGCGATCAGTCGGGTGACTATGAGCAGATGTGTTGCGTGATTACTGGCGTGTAGAGTCCCCTCCCCTTCAAACTAGTTGATCCAGTTCTAAGATTCTGCGCCTCTTAAGACGTCTCACTGAGTTAGGGATAGTCAGTTGCCCTGCCAGCAGGTTAGGGTGGTGGTGCAGTCGCTTTTTGTACTTGTACTTTTTTTTTCTTCCTTTACTGTGTTGATTTTTAGTTTGGAATCTTCAGCTCTTTGTATTAAGTGCCATATTTGAATTGCTTGCGGTACCCCAAAGCTGAATGCCGTAAATCCATACTGATTTAAGGACAGTATTATATATGAGAAGTTTGTCCAGAGACAGCACACTGTTTCTTTTAAGCAACCAGTATAGTTCGCGATATCGGATGTTGAGTTCTTTTCTTTTCGCTCGGATATGATTCCTCCAGGTCAGCCTACAATCCAGATACATTCCTCGGTACTTAACGGAGTTGTTATGGGGGAGTTGTTGGTCGCCTGATTTGACCGCTGGGTAATCTTCTCTTTTCAAAGTGAAAGTGATCTGCACGGACTTTGACGCATTAGCTTTGATCCTCCATTTTCTTAGCCATTCTTGAATTTTATTGAAGACGAAGGGGTACCCAAAATCGCTTAAATATGGTGTTTTTGTGCAAGTTTTCAGGCGATAACATAGCACGTGGAACTTTGAAAATACTATATGACGACCTGTCCGGAAAAAAAACAACAATCCGGCCGGACTCGTTGATATAGCGTCTGGCACGGTAAGCAAGAAGACGTCGGTTCGAATCCGGCCGGATCGAAGGAATTTTGTCTGAGTGTTCGATCTTTGTATTAATAATTATAACAAACTAGTGGAGTAATTTCACAAAAATAATTGAATATCAATTCAATAAAAATTTAACATAACTGGTATTATCAAATACAGGGCATGTAACATAAAAAGATAAATGTCTTTTTCGTTTGTAGTATGGAAGTAATTTTACAATAAAAACAGAAGTTATTTACAGGGACGACCATTTTTGGACAACAATAATGGAAACAAAAATAAAGAACTTTTACCTCGATTGCTTGTTGCCAGAATTGATCGACCCCACGCACACTAGAAAGATGCCTATTAGAGACCCGGATTATGTCATAGAAGCCATTGAGCAAAGAAAATCAAAACGGGGAATACAGGAAAACAACCCAGATCAGGAAATTCCCTGTATGTCTCTTTCAGCGCCTGATGCAGCTTTTAAAAATATAGGACGCGTTAATGAAATTACTTTGTGCCCAGACCAACCAACTACCAGCACAGCCCATAGAAAAAGAAAAGCTCCAGGAGCGGCGTCCGGGCGTCCAGAACAGTCCACTAGCAGCGCATCATCATCTTCCCGTCTTAAGCGTGCTAAGTGAAATGTCCAACCAAGCACCTTCTTAAATAAAGAAAATACCAAATAATAGTTATTTCTGTAGTATTATTTCAAAAGGACTGTTGAGTATATTAAATAAATCGATACCTTTAGGCTCAATTAAATCCTTATTAAGGCCTTCCGTCATTTCTTTTGCCTGATCTGATCCGAACATTACTCTATGTAGAATACCAGCCAGTATCGCCAAAAATGGAGGATTTTTGAAGTTACTTACAGTTTTTACAAAGATTATTTTAATTTTAGGTATATTATGAAGAAAATACAAAGAAAGAAATAGTGATGAAGAAAGGTAGAACCTTGTTAGCACTATATTCCTTTTTTTTAAACCAAATTACAAGACTTTATCCTGACAATTCCACTAAATACGAATTCAAAGTTTTTGATCAAACTGACAATAATGTGATATATTGAAAGTGAAAACATAAATATTGACTCCTGCCGCTTAAAATACTATTTAGAAAATCCAAACAAGAAAACTAAGAGAAAGTGAAAACAATTTATTAGAACAACAATGGAAAATATTTATTGAAGTTCCCTATAATTAAACGAAGACATGACCTTGGATCCAAGCCAAAATTCTTAGGGTCGTATTCCAGAACTCTACTCAATGCTCAAGTCAGGTTTGAGCAGACTTGAGTATGATTTCAAGCACTGGAAATACGACCCAAATGGCAAGCTTGAATATGATTTCTAGTGCTTTGAATCATACTCAAGTCCTGACTTGAGCATTGAGTAGAGTTCTAGAATACGACCCTTAATAATTAATAAAATATCCGGACGCCATCTATT